CTGCGTGTCTGGAGCCTGTGCTCCAGACACGCAGGCTCAGCGGCCGTGGCTCACGGGCCCAGCCGCTCCGCGGCATGTGGGATCCTCCCGGACCGGGGCACGAACCCGTGTCCCCTGCATCAGCAGGCGGACTCTCAACCACTGCGCCACCAGGGAAGCCCTCTCATTCTTAAGTCTACTTTTTTTAAACAGACTGTCTATGAAGTAGGCCTTGTCTAACTCTGCTGTTACTGAAAATAAATGCAGAACGTCTATGTGGAGTTTTATTGCTAATCATTCTGTGGAAATAGGCAAGAAAAGTACAAAATAACAAATGCAGGTGGGGTGAAGTCACCTCAGAGTTAATGTAGCTTACCTCTCAGAATTCCTCACGAGTACCCAGCCCTTCTGTGGCCCTGGGAGGGGCGTTAGCAATTTTGAAATTTAAGTTTGAATTATATTTCCTGAAGTGGCCCAGCAAACTGTATATACTTCAGGCCCCACAAAACAAGGATTTACCCTTGAATGCAGCAAAGTTATTCAATTTAATAATTTGTATAGCTACTTTCCTTGACATCCTTGCTGGATGGAACCCTGAAGCTTCAACAGCCAGCTACTATTCTATTTAGCTCCCTAAGATGCAGTTCATAAATACTCATCACTCTCCAGGTTTCTTATCCTTACATAGTCTTCACAGGTCATTTCGCCCATTAAAGCAGTCTTTCTAGCATTAAAGGCCTCAGGGTACAATTAGGCCAAAACAATCAAAGATAAGTAGGTTATTCAATTTCCCCTACTCTAAAGCAGAATCACATTAAAGTGGGAAGCTGTTAACTCCTGGCCTTAGTTCCACATAGGAAATGAGGGCTCAGGAAAACTGTTATGAGATTTTGTGTACATAAAAGTCATCTAGAAAGCATGTCATAAATGTGAATTTCAGGGACCCACTCCATGAGAGTTACAGGATCCAGATCGAAGGACAGCAATTTAAGGACTACTTCCTTAATGCAAAGATTCTTAATCTTCTGGGTGTCGGATCCCTTGAAGGATCTTTCCATATTCACATACTTATAATGTTAATATGGAGATTTTATTAGTTTGCTATGGCTGCTATAACAAGATGTTACAGACTGGGTGGCTTAAATAACAGAAATTTCTTTTCTCATAGTTCTGGAGGCTAGAAGTCCAACTTCAAGGTGTTGGCACCTCTGGTTTCTTCTGAGGCCTCTCCTTGGCCTGCAGATGGCTGCCTTCTCACTGTGTCCTCACATGGCCTTCCCTCTATGGGCACACATCCCTGATGTCTCTTTAATGTATCCAAATTTCCTCTTTTTATAAGAACACCAGTCAGACTGGATTAGGCCCACCCTAATTGCCTCATTTTAACTTAATCACATCTTTAAAGTCACATTCTCAGGGCTGGGAGTTAGGGCTTCAACATATGAATTAGGGGTTGGGGGGAGGAAATCATCCCATAACAGAGATTATTCCATGGCCCCCATTCTAACCACCCCTAGCTTAGCTATTCCTTCAAAGAACTGGAGTGTGCAGATGACCTACCCGAGAGAGAAAGAAGGGGGCCACGTGGTGCACACCACAGTTAGGAGGAAAATGACCATCCAAAAAAGGGAGAGGAAAATCCATTGAATTTGTCTGGAAAAAGGAGGTCCTTGATGGTCTTAAAGATTTATGTGTGTATACCTGGAAAAGACGAAAACTCCAATTTGAAAAGATATATGCCCCCCAATGTTCACATCAGCACTATTTACAATAGCCAAGACATGGAAACAACCTAAATGTCTATCAACAGATGAATGGATGAGGAAGATGTAGTATATATATACAATGGAATATTACTCATGAAATAATGTCATTTGTAGCAACATGGATGGACCTAGAGATTATTATACTAAGTGAAGTCAGACAGAGAAAGACAAATAGCATATGATATCGCTTATATGTGGAAACTAAAATATGACACAAATGAACTTATTTACAAAACAGAAATAGACTCACAGACATAGAAAACAAACTTATGGTTACCAGAGGGGACAGGCAGTGGGGGGAGAGATAAATTAGGAGTTTGGGATTAGCAGATATAAACTACTACATATTAAGCTGATAAACAACAAAGTCCTACTGTATAGCAGAGGGAACTATATTCAGTATCTTGTAATAACCTATAATGGAAAAGAATCTGAAAAAGAATATATGTATACACATATATACATAACTGAATCACTTTGCTGTACATCTGAAACATTGGAAATCAACAATACTTCAATTAAAAAATCCCCCAAAATGATGTGTGTGTGTATAATACAAATATTGCATATTTATGTTTTATATATATAAATACATATACAATTTTATAATATATATTTTAGATAGACATTGAGAGAGAGAGAGAGAGCAATCATCTCTTTTGAGAACTGCAGAGAAAATAAAATTAAGGATGATAGAAAAAAAAGGAAAGAGTTAAACACATTATGTGTCTCCACTTCATCCTGCAACTAAAATAGTAGCCAAAGGACATAATGCAAAAAGCACAAATAAAACTTGAGTGGAGATACCAAAGAAATATTAGCAACATTTTGGAAGTTCTACAACATATGGACAAGTGTTGACTGGCTTTCCACACGAGAAAAGCTGAAATCTAAATGCCTGCAAGGTGAAGGGAGCCAATAAACAAGCTGATTCATGAAAAAGAACTTGAAAAATTCTCAGGAATTAGAAATCTAGGGCTCTTCTGAAAATGGGAAAAGGGGTGGGTGTGGGTGAAATCAGGAGAAATCGTTCAACGTCTGTATAATAAACAGCAGGCCAGACAATTGAGAACAAAACTCTGCCTTATAGGAGTCCCAGAAAGAGAGTCAGGAGGAAAATGGAAAAGAAGGGAAAACATCAAAGAAATAATAACATTTTCCAGAGCTGAAGGCCAAGGCTTTCCCCTGCAGAAGGCCCACTGTGTCTCAACACAGTGAATGAAAAACAGATCAAACCTTAAAGAAAATTTGAGAAAATGTTAAAACATAGAAGGGCATGAGGACAGGATTAGGGGAATAGGGTGGCAGGAAACAGCTTATAAATAAAATTTTGAAATTAGAATGGTATCGCACTTCTCTGCAGCTATACTCGAAGTCTGAAAACAATGGAACACTATCCTCAAAATTCTAGAGCAAATGACTTTCATTCTAGAATTTTACATGCATCTACCAATTCTGTGTGGAGTCTGAAAAATATTATTTTTAAACATTAAAAAACCCTCAAAAGTTTACTTTGGATCTTTCTTCAGCAAGCTAATTGAAGGTGTGTTTCAGTAAAATGTCAGACTAAACTACGAAAGAATATCACACAAGTGGGAGGTTGAGGGGATGCTCCAGCATGATGCTGAAGTTCAACTCTGGGCTGACAAGAGAATCAGGAAGGACGCATCTCATTTAAAAACCAAAAACTGATTTGGAAAGCCATACTCTGGTAGAAAGTTTGGTGAAAAATGAGTAAAAGTAATCTAAGCAAATGAAACAAAGAGGAAAGTATTTCATCTGGGGTGGCGGGGAGAAGTGTGATCCATTTTCCCAGTTATAATAATGTAAATAGTTATTACTTAGCTAAAAGTTGTGGTACAGCTCTATTGGGAAGATGACCAGGCAGCTGAGTAGGGGTTGCTGGTGAAATAGTGCAGATATTTTAGCTATGGTACTGCAAGAAAAGAAAGCTAAAATCCTCATCTTCCTTTACAGAAAGTCAACAGATATTATCTAAAATTAACAATACCAAGAGAGAACAGTACACAAATGTTATTTAGACATATGGAGGTAAGAACCAGAAGAAATGAGAGTTTTACATGATTTCCTCTAGAGATGAGGAACTGTCAGGGATGAAGGTATGCTGCTTTTTATGATACATTTTTTTTAAATGCCTTTAAAAAATATGGACATCGTACATTTCGACAAACATAAAAATAAATATGTAAATTATAAAGAAAATGTATTATGTAATACATACATTTATGCCAAAAATATCCTATGGTCTATAAATATTTCTGCTTGTTTTATATAAGGTTGATATATCAATATTTCTGGAAACATATTATCTCAATTCAACTCTATAAGCATTGATTATAAGAACCATTTTTCTTCTTACAGTTAATCTTTCTCAGAAAAGTTGGGTGCTCGCCTATTTTAATACTTTAATCCTTCAGGTTTAAAAAGCATCCACCTGAATTAGTGATCTTACCAACAGAAACACATGAGTTAGCTATACTGAGTTCACACATCCGTATTTCTTCAGGATGGGATTTCTGGAGTAATAAGGCCTAAAGGCACTTTAAGTCGGCATATTCCAAACCCAGGTGTCAGGACAGTGGATGTGGTGACAAGGGCCATCAGGCAAGAGAAACGTCCAGTGCACCAATCAGAAGTCTTCTGGGGACACAGAGACCTGTGGTGTGCTAGAAAAGTTCATTCTCCACCATTTATAACTTTTTCTCAAAATAATTTGAATGAATATTTTATTTCAATAATATTATCACTCAGAATATTAAATGGCCAAGACAATGAAAAATCTAGTCCAAGTAAAACCCACGCAAGAAGCTATCTCCCTTACTCCTTTTCTTTCTCTCCCGAAATATAGTTTGCTGTTTCCATACCTCTCTATAGTCACTGCCGATGTGTTCTAAGCTGAGGGAATACACAAGATCCTTGCCTCCCACGAAGAGTCTCTCTTGATATTCATCCAGCAGCATTGTCTGGAGATCAAGAAATCCAAAAGGGCTATGGAAGACTGACGTTCTGTTTAGATCCAAGAGCTCTGAAATACAAAAGAAAATGTACACTAAACACAAGAGAAAATATAAATACCTTTATAACACTTTTCTCATGGCTCTATTTTCATACCTATCAATACTGTGCAATTAACATTCATTTTATCATAAATACAAAGTCTTTAAAATTTATTACTCAAAAAGATTAAAAATATATAGTGCATCAACAATACTTAATTGTGTATTTGAAAATTGCTAAGATAGTAGATCTTAAAAGTTCGAATCAACAGAAAAATATTCTAACTATGTCAGGTGATGGATATTAACTAAACTTATTGTGGTAAGCATTTCTTGATATGTACATATATCAAATCAATATGTTGTAACCTTACACTAATACAACATTATACATCAACTATAATTCAATAACACTGGAAAAAAAATTTTAAATATTTGTTCAGTGTGTAAAAAAAGTACAATGGAAATAAGTTGTGATATGCACAAATTAACATCTTTTATAAGTTTATTAATTGAAAAACTTTGATTCAACTTAATAGTAAGGTAAATATCCTACGTTTTTAAATACAGAAAGAATTATTTTTCACAAACTTTAATGTAAAGTGCTACACGGAAAAGTCATTCCATTATGACTTTTATATTTACTTTTCTATGTATAACAAAAATCCCATATATAATATATAATATAATATATAATAAATATTCCCAAAGCAAGTCAAGTTAATTCCAGATGAACAACAACTCAGAAAAAATGTTTCCACTTGAAACTGGTTTTGAAAGTCATGTCCAAAATCAAATTGTCCAAGAATGGAAACTATCAGTGTTGTTAATGTGGTAGTATTCAGTACAGTGGGAATGACTGTTAAAACTGATGGGGATCTACTTTCTACCACTGTGATTTGGGCTGGTGTTTATGCATTCACCCCTACTTCAGAAATTACAAATTATTTGTTTTAGTTAACATACATTTAATTTTAGAAAGCCAGAATCTGGCAAACCTCTCATATGTGTGTATTTGTTTGTTTGTTGAAGCTGTTTAATTGCATATGGCAGTTCACTACTTAAGGTTGGTAAATGATAATGTGAGAGCCTTTGAGGATGAGAGAGAATTAATACGAAACCCTGCATGTTGAAGATTTCTTAAAGAGGCTCCTTGGAAATACTGACAAGTTAGAAGATAACTTCATTTCCCTAAGGTCAGCTCCTAATGCATCTGACAAAGAAGGTGAAATACTGGTAACCAGAACACTCAAACCCAGACAGCAGTATGAAATATGAAAATCGATAGCACTTTGTCCACTCTTACACTGCCTATTTCTGAGAAAAGAGAAATGAAGTATCTTTTCCCCTCTATTATGAATGTATTAACTTCTATTTCTCTACTCTGAAACTGTTGATGTCCAAAGTTTTGTGGAATGGGGCTAACTTTAAACCTTTAGTTAAAACAACCAATTTTGCTAACATCAAATTATCATTTATAAAGGTAAAACTTGTGATACTGAATCATTTGACCATTCACCTAAATAAAGAACTTAAAGTTTTGAGGGACAGATGGAAATAATAATAAGGTGCTTTATTTAGGGAAGATGAAAATAGGAATTTGAGAGATTAGGTGTTCTTGAATCCTGGAAGACAAATTTTTCCCACTCAGTAATTTTGTCAAGGTAGAATCACACTGTTTTCCTTCCTAAATAGGCATTCACAAACAGAGATGCGTATTTTGGCGATTCAATACTATAACAAAAATATAAATCAGAGCTCTCCACTGCCATTACACCTTCTCTTCACATGTAATCACTTATGGTTTTACATCCGGGCTGCTAAGTGGAGTATTTTCCAGAAAAGGCTCCCCACTTATTCTAGTATGTTGTTAAAATTCCTCAAGCTTCATGCATGGTGAAATCATTATCTGAAAAGATTCAACTGTTCAAAGAATGGTTATACACTAGCTAGAATTAGCAGGTCTCTAAACTACAGACTTACCAAACACAGTAATGTACAAAGCTTAGGAGAATAAGTTGGCTGGAAAATGAGAGAAAGCCAGGAAAGGAAACAAACATGAGGGCGCTACCCTAAAGTGCTGTCACAGTGGAGTAGTCAGTGCCAATTTTTAAAAGTATGAATTGGAAAGAGAGGCAGCTCAACCAGTAAAGGAGGCACTCCATAAATGAATTCCATCTAGGGATGGAATGACCTTGCTTTTTCCCAATGAGTCATTAGGACCTCATTACCTCTGTATATAAATAGAGATATAGACATCAAAACTTCTACTTGTTTTTATGACTTGCCAACTTCTGCAATGCATACTATGTTTACTATAATTTTTATAGTGTAAAGGTCATCGTTCCTGTTTCTTTGTCAGTAATAGAGACTACTGGCCCATCAGTCTTATTTTTTTCTAATCAAATTTTATTCTGACCCATCTTCCCATCGCTATGACGAAGTTGATCCCATGAGACCACAAAGATGAACTCATGTTCCTGTGGAGATGCAGACTGGAAAATGCAAAGGGAAAAATTTCAACAAATGCAAATTTTTTAACTGTTCATTTCTTACAGCCTTTACATGTATCAGTTTTTTTTCCACCACAGTAAACAACCACAGTGTAACCGTCTGAATTACCACTGTCCTTTATTTTACTTATGAAGAAACTCAGGTGCCCAGAGAATAAATGACCATCCTACAGCTATATACTATTACAATGAAAAATCACTCAAATTACAAAAAAAAAAACAAAAATGAGAATCAAAGTACAACAGATGTATATGCCATAATGAAAGTCCTGTAGGCTGAGAATCTGAAGAGCCAGGTTCTGGTCTTGGCTTCGCCATTAATTACCTGAGTAACTAGGAACAACCACTTAACCTCTTTAGATTGGTTTCCTCACATGTTAATCACCCTTGTACACTCAAAATTATTAATTCTTTGACTAAATTGCATTTTTGAAATGGAGGTGATAAAACATTGCTAAAAAAAAATAAACAAACCCAACCACAGATATTTTACGGCCTTTCAAAGCACAGTGCTGAATCTATATTTTTTGGAATCTTAACAAATGGAGGGAGTGATCAATGAACAAGTCTACATATCCCACGACCCTTATTTAAGCTTGCCTAAAAGGAAGTAGTTAAAATATTCATTTATTACTTTTCATATATTTAAATGATTACAGGGTCAGGGAATACTTTTCGGTTATCAGGAATTTTGGAGCTAATTTATTTTGATTCATTCATATCACCTCAGAGAAAATTGCTGCCAAGGTATGTCTGGATACATAAAATTGAACATCATGTACATGTCTTAGGCAGTAAGTTAATAAATTTCATTTCACTTACGAAGACACTTCCTGGGATAATTCCTAACTTATTTTTTAAAAATGTAAGATCCAATAAATAGACTGCAGTTTTCTTTAAACATGTTCCCAATATGAGAGCTGTGCATTGAATGTTTCTGCAACTCTTCACTTTGACCATCACCACCCAACAGAATAATGCCAACGACTGATTCCTAAGAAGTTCAGGCTCTTCCGTGGAAATTTCAGAATCAAGGTACTAACCACTGTCTGTGATTCTCCAACATCCTCGACTTTTAAGTCAGGAAAGGTTAAAAGTACCCATTATGCGTAAATATTTGTGTTTTAGACATATATCTGGAATAATGGACACAGAGGCATTCTAAAATAGAAACATTTTTTAAAGGTTGTGCGTATTTATGCTTTAATACTAACTCTAATTTTCTACTTTTATTTATTTGATTATTTAACTTGCATCTTTCCAAAAAGGATCTGAGATGACTCATACAAATATATTCAGTTGAACAAACAAATATACTGCTAGGGGTGCTAAAATGAAGGGAAATAAAAAACGAAGAAAATAAGATGGGAACACTGGAATAAATGCTATTAAGTGAAAGTTATTCTCTAATATCCTATACACTGTTAAAGTGAGTATCAAAATTGACCCCAGGCTTCTTAAAATTCAAATTAAAAGTCACTATAATACAGGAGAAAAACTATATCAGTTGCTTAAGAGTACTGCCTGATGTGATGATCAGTTTTAGGTCTCAACTTGACTAGATCAGGGCTGCCCAGATATTTGGCTAAACATCTCATTTAATCATGGGCACTTCCACGAGGTAAGACCTACAACTACCTCCATTTTCTAATTGCAAAAAGAGAGCTTTTAAGAGATTCAGTGCACAGCTAAGGTTATTTGGTCATTGTTGGTGCCAAAATTTGAATAAGAGGTTGACTGGAGAGCTTTGCTATTAATGATCCACGTGAGATGGGGTGTTTATCACCACTGTATACTCACAGAGCTTAGTCATCCCCAATTCTGGTCCCCAGAGACGAAGAGCATCAAGATTGTTTGACTTGTTAAAAGCTTGCTCCTTATAAACAGTGACTCCATAACCTTATATAGAAAACTCCCTATAGAAGCAACTAAGTCTAGTCTATTAAGGGATTATGATGTTTCTGAACTTGAATACATTTTTGCAGAGCTTGATATTAATAATAAAGTAAAACGGAAGGTTTTCCCAATATTCAATAGCTGTGATTGATATAATTCAAAACAATTCAACAGCAAGAACATCAAAAGGAAAATTTAGGTTAATATCAATTTTAATTACCTTTCGTATGTATTTAAAAAGCTGTCTCAAATGACTACGGAGGTGTTCATGTTGCTTTATTAATTGGTGACATTTTCAGTTTTATACATCTTACTTTAAGAAAACAGAAATGTTTGTAGATAACTTGTGATAAGAGTTTCAAAATGATTTGAAAATTTTTTTGGTATATACTTAGGCAAACAAAACAAAACAAAAACCTCAAGCAGGAAGCTTCCCTCCTTCTTTAAGAATATTTCCTCATTTTAGTTTTAGAGCCAGCATTTTAAGTCATAATAGTGGTTTTAGCACCAAATTATAGTCCGTGGACTTGGTGTATTTACCAAGCAATGGCTGACCTATTTATCCCTCTGCACTGCTGCAAGCTGCTTAGATGAAAGAATCAGAAAACATACAGGAAGAG